CTGGGAGAGATGCCCCAGCCCTGGGAAAGGGTGGGTTGTGCCCAGGGAAGTGGGAGCAATGAATTGTTTCCCCAGAGAGTGAAATCTCTGCTCCGTTTGTCCCAGATCTGCTCAAAAGACAATGGAAGTGACTCGGAGCTGGTTTGTGTTTATGCGGCTGTTTGGCCTGATCCGAGCGTGCTAAGAGCTTGTGCTCGCCGGCGCGTGTCTCATTTCTTTTGAAAATCAGATGCTTTAGGGGAAAGTTTCTCCTTCCAGCTCTGCGTGCCCACATCTTGCATATGCAGGTGATCCGGCACACCTCTGCTCCGCAGGCAGATAGAGGCACGGGCGGCTGCCGGCAAGGAGCCGGGCTGGGAGCGTGCCGGAGCCCGACACAAACCTCCTCATGCTGCTGTGGGGCTGCAGATCCCAGGTCCCAGCCTGGCCTTTCACCTTTGAACCATGGAGAGGAGGTTTTCTCCCTGGTCATCTCTGCATGGTTGAAGGCTGCATGTCCGGGTGGTTTGTTAGGATGGGGATTACTAACCCAGCATGACTTTTAGGGGAGAAGCTCCCATGTGGCGATGCTGAATGCCCTCACAAGGAAGTCCTTCTTCTCCTGGTATGGTTTTGGTGGTCCTGGGGGACCCCCTGGGCTGGGCAGGACTTTGCTGACCTGCTCAGTGGGGTAGGGAGGTTGCCCAAGGATCTGGGCCCATGGCTATTTCAGGAGATCCGAGACTCCCTGAGGCTTTGGCTGATGGAAAGGCAAGAGTTTATCCCAACATCAGCATCCCAGGGAGGAATGAGGTCATCACTGATGTAATGAGCTTTCTCATCTTCAAAGTTTCCTGTTTACATCCCTGCTAGTAATTTTGAAAATCATGGGATTAGGGCAAAATTCTTTAAATTAGGGCCAAAATTTTTAAAATTTCTTAAAATTAGGGCAACATTCTTCAAAAACAACCACTTTACTTTCGGGCTGTTTGTTTACCTCCCACCTTTCCCAGCTTACTGGGCTGGGGCTGTCGTGCGTTGCTCTCCACCTCTCCTGTTGTTTGGGGTGTTTGCAACCAAAAAAGGAAAAAAACAAGAATTTTCAGAAAGCAGAGCACTTTATCTGTTCTCGGGGATTATTGAACACTACTGCCAGCACTAAGCAATGGCTCTCAGAATGATGGAACGTTAATAACATCATAACCTCAATGGGGAAACTGAGGCAGGGGCAGGTGGAGAAGAGACCTGAGCCTGGGGTGGGATCTGGGACACTGATCCCAGCAAGGAGGGGCTGGGGCAGCCAGCACACCCTGGAGTGCTCCAGTTTGCATCCAGCCCTACGGGTGCTGTGCCCACACCGTTTCTGCACCCACAGGTTTCCTGCAAGGAGAGGCTCTGCCCATCACCTTTCCAGGTTTCTCTGTAAAATGGGCTGAATAACACTCAGTTTGGCGTCTCCCAAGGGTTTGAAGTGGCTGCAGCCAGCAAGGCAAAAGGGGGAGCCTGGGCGAAGACAGTGGGGTGGCCAAGGGGTACGTGTTGCCTCTGTAGAAGCTGTGCGCGGTGCCAGAGGGAGGAGGGATGTACAGGAGCATCTCAGGACCCAGCGGGAGATGGGTACATCAGGCTCGAGCACCAAAGCCGCCGCGAATTTTCCCATCATCAGTCCCCAGCAACGCGGTCCCGACACAAGCCCTGCAGCCCTTTCCTCAAGGAGATGCCCTGACTCGCCTCATCCTAGAGAAATGCAATTTGAACAGCTCAAAAAATAGAGGAAAAGCCTGATTTTTCAGCTGGGCTCTTCAGTTCAGTTTTCCAAGCCGTGGCTCCCTGCTTTGTCCGTGCCTCCAGCCCTCAGCAGGGTGGACAGGTCTGAAAATGCCTCCCCGGATGAGCCTGCTGCCTTGGGCATGTCCATGTTTAGCAAATGAATTCACTTTCTAGATTTGGGCTTTATCCTGTTTCTAAGACTTTCTGGAGCACCACATACACAAGATGTTTCTCTTTTATTGGACTTTTTGTTTCTATTTTAGGCTGAAACCTGAATAATTTGAAACAAAAGGACGTCCTCGCACTGGAAGCGACCCAGCGTGGAGCACAGCCCTGAACATGACCACGGAGACTTTTGCAGAGTTCCTGAATAAGCTCAAGGAAATCCATGAGAAAGAGGTCCAAGGTAAGGAGACACGAGAAGTCTTACTAAAAACCAGCAGAGGTCCATTTCTTTGTGATGTCATCTGGGTTTATTTGGTTTGAAATAACTCAAAGAGAGGAGGAGTAGGTGCGGATGAGGGAGCTTCGGGAATTAGGGCTCAGCCAGCATCACCCACGGGGATGGACGGGGATGCACGGTCACAGCCTGGCCCTCATGGAACCACACCGTCTGATGGCACCTTGGTATGGCTTATCCATCTTACCCTGATGGAGGTTTACTGAGAAAATGAGTAACTTTTTGTACAATGAGGTTGAGCAGAAGCGAGAGGGCATTTCTGCATCCGATATCCCTGGAGATGCCCCACCCACGGGAATCCCACTTGCTCCAAACGTGAATCATGGGGGATTTGGCTCCTTTCCTGCTCCTGCTGCCGTGGTCTGTGATAAAGGTGAATTGGGAGGTTTGCAGAAGTGACGTGCACACCTGCTGGGCATCTTCCCTGAGCTACTGGAGTATATTTGGATACTGAGGGATCAAAGGGAAAGTGGAAAGATGCAATAATCTACAAGACTGAAGCAGCGGGAGAATGAGGCTCTGTTAAAGAAAACCTTAGAGTCAGGTGAGAGAGTTTATTCCTCTAGGGAATAAATTATTCCTCAGGTCATACATTATTAAAATAAGAACTATTAGATTAAGCAACCAAATGCCAAATGCAATTGATTTCCTATTAGAATTATTCCCAGTATCAATATTATGAACAAAACAACAGCTCTTTTGGAGGATTCTGGCTTATGAATTTATTCTTCTCTTGTGTAATTTCAAGCCGTGTGAGAGTTAGAGGAAACTGTTGGGCAATTTAAACCACATGTTTACATCTACTTTGCATAAAATGGATTTGACAAGATGTAACGTCTGCAGATCCATCAACGAAAACTGTTCTCGTTGAGCTGTAAATAGCCTCCAAGATGCTTTGCAGCCCTGAGACTTATAAAATACTGCGCACCTGGGAAATGAGTGCTGTAACGAGAAATAAGCAGAAACAGAACTGAAACAGACTTTTTGGGGGTGGGAGGGAAATGCAGGCTCATTAAATAGTGGAAATACAGAATGTGCTCACATTTTGAACCACTTTTCCAGCTATATTAAACCCTGATATTGTTTAACACGGGCAATGTGTTATTCCTTCTCGGAAATAACACTTGTAAATTGATGAGGTTTCTGCACAGGCATCCTCCTGAAGTTCCAGCATTGCATTTGTCTCCAAAGTGCCAGGGAATTGGCAATAAATACCCTCCTCTCTGTCTCTGTTGATTACTCCAGGTCTGCAAAGCAAGCTGACGGAGCTGACGACGGAGAAGTGCTGGTGAGCAACACCACGGCTGCTTTGCCCACGCTGCGGCGGGATGGGGGGCGGAGGGGAGGTTACACCACTCCAGTTCCAGACCTCCTGGGCACTCCTCTGAGGCTGCCTGATTTACAGGGCATGGTTTGCCTTTCTGGCTCTACCAAATTTCAACCTTTTAGTGACTTTCGCCGTGCAAGTCCCCAGTACAGGCAGGACTTGGGGTGATCCCAGCCCACCTCGGATTTACCTTCCCGCTGGCAAGTGGTGCTTGTGCTGACAGGTGCTTGTTCTCTTGGGAAGCAATAAAACACGATGAAGCAAGCTGCTGAGCCCAAGAGTGGGTGTCACAGGGCAACGTCTGGGCTCGAACACATGTGCTTCCCCTCTTGCCACAAGAGCAAAAGCCATCGAGCCGTACTGGTGTGCGCAGCACGGCTGGCTCGGGGCAGAAATCCTTCCCCTTGGGTGCTGCAGACAAAGGCACAGATTTGGGGGAGAAATCTAACAAACCTCTTTTTTTTTTTTTTGTTCTGTTTCTTTGTTTAGTGATGCTCAGAGAATTGAAGAGTTGTTTGCTAAAAATCACCAATTAAGAGAACAACAGAAAGTCCTTAAAGAAAATGTGAAGGTGTTAGAAAACAGGTAAGATTTATTTTTCCACAGGGTGCTGTTCAGTGGCAGCGAGTGCATGCTCTTAGGGGGAGAGTTCGGGGTTTTCTGGCTTCCCAGAAGCAGGATGTAGCACACGAACCTCTTCTTTGCTCATACTCAGCTGCTGGGAGAGCTGGGGGAGCTCAGAAGAGCTTTTCTAAATTGATGGTGGTGGGGCTGGCTCCATGGTGAGTGGAAGGGCTGGGCTTGTCTGCATGGGTGATAACCCCTCTCATCAATCCTGGGTGATGGACTGGGTGCTCACGCTTCTCTGTGGGGAGGGCAGGGTTCTCCCATGGGAACCGTGTGGTGACAAGCTGCCGGCCGCGGGTTTTCCTCCAGGCTGCGAGCGGGTCTCTGCGACAGATGCATGGTCACCCAGGAGCTGGCAAAAAAGAAGCAGAATGAGTATGAGACCTCCCATTTCCAGAGCCTGCAGCACATCTTCGTCCTCAGTACGTACCTCTGCCTTCTGTGAGCTGAGTCTTTGCTCAGTTAATACTTCTCCCAGATATTTGCATGAGCCCCTCCAGTGTCTGGCAGGGGTTTGGGGATGGGGAGAAGGGAGAGAACCAACGTGAGTGTGGAGGTCTTGAAAAATCAGATCTGACCAGGACTGCGGATGGCAGCCCATGTACCCCCCAAGGACCTGGGTAACCAGTCCTGGGAAGTGGCAGAGCTGGGCAGTCGCAGCCCTCCACACCTCCAGAAAAACAGGAGAGATGCTGACGCCGAGAGCAGCCCCAGGCTGGCCGGGCCATGTCAGCTGCCAGGAAAAGAGATGCATTTGGCACTGCAGAAGCAACACTCTGGCAAAGACAGGAAAGTCACAGCAGCAGCTCAGCACGAGTAAATGGAAATCAAGCAACACTTGTGATGGATCTTCTCCCGAGCCTTTGGCAGAGCTCCCAGCACCGCTCAGGCTCGGGGTTTTTTCCCTGGGGATCTGGCTGGCCTAGGGCAGTCCGTAGGGGTAAAGGAGATATGGCATTTAGGAGGGACAACGAGGTGGCAGCACCCTTTGGTTTGTCTCCCCTGTTACGCCGTTGATCCCCAGTGGTGCTTCCAAGCAGGAGCAAGCCGGGACTGCCCACCCTGCCCGGGATCCTGCCCACTCTCTTCCGTTGCCTCCTCACTGCAATGCCCGGCTGCTGGGGGCTCACAGCTCCCTCTGCCCTTCGCCCGATCCCCTCCTGAGACCCCCAGGCCTCCCCCTCACACAGCACCCGCTCACCAGAGGCAGCCGTGGTGGC